GTCGACGTCGAGATTTGCAACCACTCGTTCCCGCAGCTCGAGATGATTGCGTGGGACTTTGCCGACAAGGACTACGACTGCATTTTGGGTCAACCGTGGTTCTTCAAGTACAGCCCGATGATCGACTGGCGCACTCGCACGATTACGGCTCTCAACCCCGAGCCGCCGGTGCGTCGCGTACGTCCTGGACGCGAGTCGCCGCGCCCAACCAAGAACACCTACTCGGTCCGCCTCGCCAGTCGACGCGCACGCCGAAGAAGGGTGTCTCATCGAGGTGTTGGCCGCCGAGCTCGTCGATTCGCCGCCCCAAACGCTACCGCAAGCGATCACCGACTTGCTCGAGGAGTTTTCCGACGTCTTCCCGAACGAGTTGCCGGACGGCCTGCCGCCGTCACGCTCGGTCAATTTTTCGGTGACCATGAAGCCAGGAGCCAAGCCCAAGTCCCAACTCTACGGGTTCCGCCTCTCGCCCATGGAAGAGAAGCTGCTCGACGACTTTGTGGTTGTGTTCCTCAACAAGGGCTGGATCCAAGTTTCTAACAGCCCTTGGGTCGCGAACATCTTTGGTGTGCCGAAGCGCAGCGATGATGGCGAGCTGCAGTCGCGAGCGCAGTTTGTCAAGTCGCTCACCGAGAAGTCCAAGATCCGATGGGTGCTTGACTACCGCTACACGAACTCGCAGCAAGAGATCCCTCGCATCCCGCTGCCCAACATTGACGCGCTCTTTGATCGCATGAAGGACTCCAAGTGGTTCTCGAAGCTCGACCTTGCAACTGGCTACCACCAGATGCTCGTCGATCCCGAGTCGCGCAAGTACACGGCGTTCAAGACGCACTCGGACACCTACGAGTGGCTTGTGGCGCCGATGGGGATGGCAGGCATGCCCGGTATCTGGTCGCGTCTCATGAAGGAGCTCTTTGCCAAGCTCAACTTTGCGGTCGTGTACATGGACGACATTGCGATCGTCTCCAAGACGCTGGATGAGCACGTTACGCATCTGCGCGCAGTGTTTGAGGTCTTGCGTGCGCAGAAGCTGTACTGCCGCATGACCAAGTGCGAGTTTGCGATGCCCGAGATCGACTACCTCGGTCATGTGGTGACGCGCGATGGCATTGCCGTCGACCCCAAGATGGTCCGTGCCAACGCCGACGACGCGGAAGGCGCTCCAGTCGTGGCTCGGTTTATGTGGCTACTATCGCCGCTTTGTGTACGGGTTTGCCGAAATTGTCTTGCCGCTCGGCGAGCTCGTCAAGGAGAAGGTAACATGGTCGTGGGGTCCGGAACAAGACACGGCTTTTGAGCGTTTGAAGGTTGCGATGCAGCAGGCGCCCGTCTTGGCTCTGCCCGACTACGACCGCCCGTTCATTGTCACCTGCGACGCCTCGGGTTACTGCATCGGTGCAGTGCTCTCGCAGCTTGATGCGTCCGACGATGACCACCCGATTGCGTTCATGTCCAAGAAACTCGCTGGCGCCGAGCTCAACTGGCCCGCGCACGAGAAGGAACTCTACGCGATCAAGATGGCGATGGCCAAGTGGCGTCCGTATCTCTGGGGTACGCCGTTCAAGGTCTTCACGGACAACAGCGCGTGCCGCTGGTTCCTCGAGACGCCCCAGCTCAACGCCAAGATGGCCAGATGGTTGGATTATTTTTCTCAGTTCGAATTTGAACTCTTCCACCGTCCCGGTGTCGAGAACGTGGTCGCCGACGCCCTCTCGCGGCCGCAGCGTGACGCCGACGACGATGAAGTGGTTCAAGCCGCGCCTCTTCGTGTGTACGTCAACGCGATCTCGGCCCTGCCCGAGCCGACGCCAAGTTTTGCGCGCGCGCATGTGTGCCCGGTCGATGCTGACGCGTGCCCGTGCCACGTCATGCGCCGCCAGGTTGTCCGTCATCTACGACACCACCAGCACAATATGGTGCTGGACGAGCGTGACCGCCACATGCTGCTGGGCAGCATGTCGGGGGAGGATGTGCTGGCCACGCTGCCGCCCATGGTGCCGCCAAGGGATATAATAACAAGGGATATAATAACAAAGGGTGGTCATCGAAGGGTTTTTTAAATGATTGCTCGTTTCCATGGTAAGCTTACCTTCTCCATACCTCGTCGGAGGGTTTTCAAATAAAAATATTTGGCACATTTTTTAAAAATAATGACTTTTGAATAAAATGATGGACGGCGGCGCGCACGTCGAGCGCCCGGATCTAAGGGTCTATCTCCCGTAGAAAAGGTCGCTGCCCTGCGCCAATAGTGCGCTACGATGCGCAAGATCATTGTGCATCGAACAAGCTATGACGCGTGGCGCTGCGATAAGTAGTTTAGGATAAATGTTGGATCGAGTCGCCAAAATCGATGGTCCCAGAGTGAGCATCTTTGATCATCGAGTTGAGCTGTAGCGGATGCATGCCTGCTATCAAGATTTGGACACGAGCTTGATCAAAGCGATAAGTGTCTACTGTTAAAACGGTGTTAGGGATCTCGAGGGATCCTCCATCGAACTCGCGTGCGGCAGCGAGACCTTTTCTGGTACGGTTTTATCATATTCGTCTCAATCGCCGCTTTTGAAATGGGGGCCTTGCTCAAAACAAAGAGTTGCACTGCCATGTCGCCAGCGCCCAAGCCTGCGTCCAAGCCCAAGAGCTATCGGTGCGTCGGTGACTGCAAGCTTCAGAAGACGAGGCTCGAGCTGGTGAACGGGATGTGCAAGTCATGCCGAAATCGCCTCAACAGAGAGGAAAAAGCTCGAGCTCAAGTGCCCGCCGTG